GCATGGTGAAAATAATGTGACCTTTGATGTAAGAGGGACCTGAATTTTACTTCATGACTTTGGATAACTGCTCTTAACTATTTCTTTAGTTGTAAAATGAGAACTGCCATGCAGAAATGACAAGAGAGAGGGTGTTCAGGTAACGCACTCCTGTTGGGGGACAGCCTAGGCTGCCACAAAGGGTTTTCACATTTATCAAATCCGAAGCATTCAATACCTAACGCTTCCTTTCATTGGTTGAATGCTTCTGGTGAGTCACAAAGGGTACTGACTAGTTCCGCTAAAAACGCATTAACTGCCCCACTTTTCACCTTGCTATCTCAAGGCCCCTGATATCCATCACCCTTCCTCCAAGAGAGTGGCGTATTCTACCCGTTTGATGTGTTAGGACCATCAAACACAAACCCTTCCAACGTCCCACCCTTTCTTTGAGGGTTCATCACTCCATCAGCATATCTGAACATACATTCTCCTCACAGGCATTGCAGTCTTCCACAATCAACTACCCAGTTATAATACAGTTGTACTCTGTATGCATGAGTTCCATATCCATAAATCCAATTGAAAATGAATGAAAAGTACATACAATTGGATATCCATGTCCATGGTTTCCATCTGCAATTGGTCAAATTCTCAAATGCAAGACCTGTATAGATATGGAGGGCCAACTGCCCTTCTCACACACATGCACAAATTATTTCTACTTAAAAAAAAAATCCATTTCCCCAACTTACCATTCTATATAACCACTCTTTTCCCCCAAGTTTTCAATAAACTTTGTTTTCCTTACTATCCTTCACCATGCCCCTTATTACTTACTTGCAAATTTGTCAAGTCTTCATATTTTACTATGGAAGAAGACGTCCTGAACTCCACATCGGAAGCCCTTTTATGAAGAGCTCATCCTTCCTCAACTTACCTGTTTCACTGACAAATTCTTGACTTGGCTTCTAGGATATTATACTCTCTGGCTTTCCAATTCTGTCTACATAGAGCAGAGTTTAATCCTAATGCAACAATCTGACTTGTTATGCTTCAAAAAACTTTGAAGGCTACCTGCAGCCTCTGGAATTAAATTTAACCCTTTGCACTCAGAGACATCTCATCGATCACCAACCAGCATCTTGACTGCACTTTTTAATGAAAAAGTGAAAAACAATTCACTTCACATTAAATGGTAGAGCAATGTGGTTTTGTTTTTTTTCTCCTACATTAATTATTGTCCAGTCTATACCACTGTGAAAGCACATCACACAGTTATGCCAGCTGATATACTTTTTAATGTATATCTCAGTATATATTCTATCTATTTGCTTTTTTGTGCATTTGAATGGAAAACTGCAAAGAAAAATACATCTTTGAGAAATCTGTGCTGACATGTTTGTCCTGTTTTATCAACAGCAATCTCTTTACGACCCCTGAGAGGGGACATCCAAGTGGTTTGCTAGATTTATGATGTCCCCTGAGAGGGAACCTCCAAGTGCAAAGGGTTAAACTCTAGCTTGTTCAAGACACCAGTCACAACTCTCCCTGCTTTACTATCTCATTATTACTTTTGCCCGATTTTCCTGCTTTCAAAGTTTAGCCATTTTTCAAGTCCAGCTCAAATGCCACCACCTTCATGAAGTCAGCTAGATGAACCATCTGTTTTGTTTTGTTTTTTTTTTTTTTTAGGATTTGCACCTAACATTTCATCTGGTATTTAAGAACCTGTAGATAAAGAATGAACAAAACTCCTGCTCTATGGACAAATGTAACCTTGGGTTAACTTTCTAGCTGTGCTCCCGAGGAAATATAGTGGCGTAATATATTACCAGACGAGATTGCTTACAGTAAAAAATGATTCATAAATGGTAAATTACACCTAGACTGGGAGAAACTATACATACCTGTTGGGAAGAGGCAGCCTTGTGCATCTCTGAAGCCAATAACTCTTCTAACTGGAGAGCATCTCTTGCAGGGAGCTGGAAACTGTCTATGAAGTGATTATGAGAGATAGTGGCTCCTGTCTGTTTTACTCAGGCTTTTAAGCCAGGGTAGCTCTTATACTTACCTATGTCTTCTCTTGTGCCCAAGCTACTGCATTTCTGTGTGCTGGGAGGATAATGCTTGGATAGCTGTGTGAACTGCCATGACCACCACTACCATGAGGAGGAATACCTGATGACACTGGGGCGGCACACCGTTTTCGGTGCCATGTAAGCTTGTCTTATGTGTCCAAATGTTTGGATGAGTCTTAAAAAGGTGGCTTTGACAGGCATCAGAGATCCATTATTCAGCTCACAGTGATTACTTCTGCCTACTCACCACAAGACCTTGGATGAGCTGGGTGTGGTAGCTCTTGACTGTAATCCCAGCACTTTGGGAGGTGGAAGCGAGAGGATTGCCTGAACTCAGGAGTCTGAGATCAGCCTCAGCAACAAGGCAAAACCTCGTCTCCATAATAAAACTTTAAAAAATTAGCTGGACATGGTGGCACACGCCTATGGCTCCAGCTACTTGGAAGGCTGAGCTTAAAAGGATCACCTAAGACCAGCAGGTCGAGGCTGCAGTGGCTGCGAGTGAGCTACTGCACTTCAGCCTGGGTGACAGAATGAGACTTCCACTCAAAAAAAAAAATAAAAATCTTGGAGGTTAGAACCTTGTCTTTTTCTGCTAACAGAGTCTCTGGTACTGCTATGTGATTGGGTGAATCACTTAGGCAATTGAAACACACTTTTTTCACTATTTGTAGAGATGTAACTATTTTCTATCCCAAAGGGTTGTTGTGATGACTCAAATATAGATGTTTCCTAGGCAGCAAAGTGCTAAGTGGAAATACTAGTAACAATATGCGAACATAAAACACATATATAACATATACATTAATATTTCTTCTAAAAGTGTCGTTACAAATGCAGTAATATTAAACAGTTCATATAGTAATCTTGATTTTCATTCCAACTTTCAAATGACGAGAAACACTTTACGCCAGAGGACTGGAAGTAAGATAGTTGGAATCTCCCTTTTATACTTCTGCAACCTCTTAAATCAAGCATTAAAAGGACAGAATTACTCAACAATCTAGTCTCTAACATGGGGACAGTGGCAGTAGTTGGGCCAAACCACTGACAGTCCCATCACACATCTCTCTGGGACAACAGAAAGGCTCTTTTTCTGGGTAATGCTGGACAGAAATGGATGGGCATTTATTCCAGCTCTCTTCTTCCTTAAGCTTTTAATGAGATTCAAAATGCCGTGTGCCCCCCTTTTGTTCTCATTATACAACACCTAGGACCTGCATGTTTTCTCACTTCCTTAGAAAATCCTATGTACACCAGACACTGTACTGCATCTCAGAACGAAGGGAGCCCATTCCCTGCAGACCTGCTCTAGAGTATTTTTCAAAAAATGAAGCCAAGATCATATATGTTAGAGAAATAAAACTAACAAGTAAAGTGAAAAAGCAGGACATTCTGACTTACTTTTGGATCTATTTCTTTGAGAGGATTTTGGCTTTAAAATTTGGCTGATTCTACCTTATCAACAAGGGTACCTGCATAATCAACGCTTATATGCCTAACCCTGAATTGTACTCCACATTTTTATAATTAAAAATATATATTTGGCTGATTCACAGTGAAACATTAACTACAACTATATTGATTTTGTCAGGTACCCTGATTTTTTTTTTTTTAATTTTTTTTTTTAATTGAGTTGGAGTCTCACTCTGTCGCCCAGACTGGAGTGCAGTGGCTGCTCCTGGCCACCGCAGCCTCGACCTGCTGGGCTCTGGCGATCCTTCCACCTCAGCCTTCCAAGTAGCCGGAATTACAGGCATGCGCTACCATGCCCGGCTGATTTTTTGATTTATTGTAGAGATGAGGTCTCGCTGCCCAGGTGGGTCTCGAACCCGCAGGCTCAGACAGTCCACTCACCTCAGCCTCCCAAAGGCGCGGGATTACAGGCTGAGCCACCGAGCCCGGCTGGTACTCTGATTTTAATAATCCTTTGGCAGTGATGACACTTCATTAACAGAGTGATTATTCTACAGAATTATTGAGCAAATACAAATATTAACTCAGAATTTTGTTTTGCAGGAAACACAGAAACATGGAAGCAGGAATGAGGAGAGTATTAGACCAGTCATGAGCTTCCAAAATATGCCAATCTTATGACATGTGAAGATCTTATTAGTCAGATACAGTGGCTCACATCTATTATCCCTATACTTTGGGAGACAGAGATGGCAGGAATGCTTGAGCCCAGGAGTGCAAGACCAGCCTGGACAAAATAGTAACACCATCTCTACAAAAAATAAAAAATTAGCTGGGCATGGTGGCAGGTACCTGTAGTCCCAGCTACTTGGCGGGCTGACACAGGAGGATGGCTTGAGCCCAGGAATTGGAGACTGCCACAAGCTATGACTGTGCCACTGCACTCCAGGCTGGGCAACAGAGTAAGATCCTGACTCAAAACAAACAGAAAAGATGTTATTGGCTGTTGGTAAAGTGGTAACAGCAGTCAGTGTCCACGAACCTGGTGACTGGAAGTACAACACAGCGTATGTTCAAATCACAACATGACCATGCTCTACATTAAGAGCAAGATTATCTTGTACTTCTCTGTGGTCTTTCCCTTGCCCTTACAGCTCCACACAGGAGTGGGTGATTAGTAGTCAACAGCTGAAGGCTCTCAGAAGGGCACAAAGAGCTTCTAGAAAGAGTCCTCGATCGAAGCTCAGCGTTAACCTGACTGTTCTGCCGTCAAGCTCCACCACCCAAATGCCTTTTAGTGTTTGCATCAGCAGTAGGTGCTGGCCTTGGAGCTATAATTCAGATCCACTTAATTATGCTGGAAAAGAGAGGTAACAGCATATTAGCTTCACATAAGCCACTGCAAAACGTGTTCAGCACATATTTAAATTCTCTTCAAATTCTTTGTGTTGAAACCTATTGGTTTCTAAACTTATAATGTGCATGAAAATTCAACGTTCGGAGACAAAAAAATTCACTCAAGGAGAAAATATAACTAAAGAACATTTATTTACTTTTCACTGAGACTTTATCTTGAGGACATAGCTAAACTGTGTCACCACCCCCACCCCATCTTGAAGAAGGGTTAGTACAGTGAATGTTGTAAAGGAGACATCAACAGTTGGAAGGATTGCAGCCAACATTAAATGACAAGGGACAACTTTCATCTAAATCATCATAAAAATGTTTAAAGTAAAAAATAAAAAGAAATAAAGGGGGGCAGTGGGGGTTTCAGATTGAACAAGATCCTCACATTTATGGAATATATTCCATCCTGGCTAGAATGTAACAAAATGGAAACAGGATTCCTATAATACAAAACTCCCACTATAGCTCGCTGCACACACTCGTGTTCCACGCCCACCCCATTCCCAATGCTTCCCATTCGATTACTTCCCGGCCTGCTGGGCCTGCCGGCGAAGGAGCACGTAGATCTTCTCTTTAATCCAGTCTTTGTTATACGGTTGGTATGTCTGGGTATCAGCTCGGTAACTGAGGAACACAAAGGCAAGAAGTAGAGTTACAGTGGTCAGTTACCATCATACGTTTAAAGCCTCGAAGCATAACGGCCCACCGATGGCACAGATGTGCACGTTTCCACACATGATTGTAATGAAATGTTGATAGAGTGGATGTGAATTGTGGCTCCAAGGCCAGCACCTACTGCCGATGCAAACACTAAAGGCATTTGGGTGGTGGAGTTTGTTGGCAGAGCAGTCACGTAGCTGTTGAGTTCCAAGCATATGAACTTTGGACCACCTAGGATCATCTTGCAGTGCAAAAAGGAACCAAGGCCTAGAACTCTTCAGTCAAATGCTCAACGTGTTACATATCTACATCTTGACAATATGACTAGAAGCCATGTGTTCTTCCTTCTACATAGTTTCTATTTTATGGTACTTTTAGTGAATAAAAAGCAAAAACCAAACACTAGTACAAACTTTAGATTTGCTAAGTTTATTTTGAATTAACCAGAAAACTTTAAAAAACATGTTACTGCAACACAGTCTTCTTGCTGATTTCCCCCTTTGTAAAGTATTAAGAAAATCATATAGTCTATATTTTAGGATTTGCTTCTTAAATTTAACACTAGAGGCCTATGGAGAAGAATCAGAAAACAGCAAGCTCCCAAACGTCTCTCATCAGAAGAGACAGACATGGAGTGCAAAGACCAGCTCAGCAGTGAAGGCCAATGGGACTCTGAGGGCTTTTAGAACCCATGGTGGCACCTAGTAGCCAGTCACTTAAGCTATCTTTACAGGACTCAAAAACAGAAAACAGCTGATGTAAAACTAACCCTAGTTGGTTAAATCATAATTTTATTTCTGGAGCCCCATACTAAAGCTGTGGTATAAAAGAGCAAACAATAGGCAAATCAGATGGCACAGAACAAAGCATGCGACCGTGTCTGGGAGCTGCCAGCCTTCATGGGCACACTCAGTTTCCTAACAAGATACTTTAGATACCCTAGATAAACAAAAACATCTGATTTATAAATTACTGTCTTGTTTTGTCTAGAAGTTTCACTTTTTAACTTCTCAGCAAAAAATTATACATACATATCAATGATAATAACAACACCTATTAAAATATCACCAAGTACTACTACTCTTTTTAACAACTCTCTGAGTAGGTATAATTATCACTCTTTTTTTTTTTGGAGTTGGAGTACCACTCTGTCACCCAGACTGGAGTGCAGTGGCCGCTCCCGGCCACTGCAGCCTCGACCTGCTGGGCTCCGGCGATCCTTCTGCCTCAGCCTTCCAAGTAGCTGGAACTACAGGTGCGTGCTATCATGCCCGGCTGATCTTTTGATTTATTGTAGAGATGGGGTCTCGCCAAGTTGCCCAGGCGGGTCTCGAACCTGCAGGCTCAGGCAATTCACTCACCTCGGCCTCCCAAAGCATGGGATTACAGGCTGAGCCACCGAGACCGGCCAGTATCATTCCTTTTTTAACAGATGAGGAAACTAAGCCTCAAAAGTGAAGCAACTTATTAGCTACGGGATGCTGGACAAGCTGCAGAGTTCAAGAGCTCCTGACTTGAGTCTTCACTGTTAATGCCATGTTAGAAGTCTATGATTTTTGGCAAGGGAAACAAACTCCAAAGTAGAAATGCTTTATACAACCGATGTCATATTCTTCCTCTGAAAATAAGGTTAGAATCTGGTTGATTAAAATAAGATTCCCATTTTACAAAATGCTTAACCAAGTAAAAAGAGACATCTGACTTTTTACTAATGTTCTTTTGTTATGATGAGAAAAACTCAGAAATATAACTTTGTTTGAATATCCTTCATCCTTGCTTTCTAACTAAATAAGCTCCAAGCTAGCCTACTTCAAGATGCAGCAAAATAGACTGCAATATTTATATTTACACTTGAAAAGAACTAATATACGGGTGGGACAGGCTTGTTTAGACTATTCCCCCAACAAGAGTCATTCTGGCTTTTTAACTGTTTAGGAATCCATCGACGTGCATACAGCGTTCCAACTCCTAAGAGTAAGTAATAAAGCCTTCTTTGTGGAAAGTTGTGTGCTGATGGCAGGAAACTGGCATGTGAAAATGAGACGATTAAATATTTAATACATTAATAAAATTAACAGTTGCTGGCACGGGTGAATCTTTTAGACTACTGTTATGGTCACTGAGTGAAGGTTTATACAAGAACAGAGACTTTGGGTCTGAGCAGTGGAGTTGGCAATATCTTCAGGGATACCAAGTTCTTTTCCTAATGAGGAGTACCTCCTTATTGCCACACTTGAGCATAAAAATGTCCCTTTTGCCTCTAAGCAAACAAGGAAATTCTGCATATTGAAAAGGCAATTATTTCATCTTACTAAAAGCTCATTAAAAAAAACTGTGAAAAAAATCATGCTCTGACTTTAAGTATATGAAATACATTTTCCATGCCTACATTTTATTTGTTCTATTTCCTCCTATTTGGTTTTTTAAAAAAGTGTTTAAAATCCTAGGTCACTGCCATGTAAATTTAACAGAAGCGAACATACAACAATTTACAAAGCAAAAATGAGCTCCATGTCTGGCCTGAGGAATGCCAGTTCAAGTCCAGCCCTTGCTCAGAGAAGCAGGATGTGCTGTCACAGGAAGTGCTATGGCAGTAGGTGACCTCTTTGGAAACAACTTATTTCTCCCAAGCGATCAAATAACAAAACGGGTATTCTAAATTTGATTCTGAAAGTTTTCAGAGGCCAAAAAATTGTCAACATTGGAAACAGAAACATAAATTGCTCAGCTTACATCTTTTTTCAGACAGACACTACAAATTATCTTCATCTCTCTCCTATGCTACTTGCAGCTGGAAAGAATTATCTAAGGAATCAAGAAGCCTTTTCCCTACTTCACTTTAATAGAGCAAATAGTGTATTAAGAATCAGTTTAGCATGTGGTTTCTGGTTTACATTAAATAGCACCAAGTTAGAAAAGTTGTGTTCTGTCATTAATTACATACTTATAGTATGTTTCTTGTGTTTTACTTTGTGCAATTTTCACAGTAAAAACAAACAGAAAACCCGAAACAGCTTTTTATTGGCTTACAGTACAATTTAAATTCATATCCTTCTACTCCTGGCAAATTTAAGAACATATTTGTTGTAATTAAAAATAAAACTTGGGCAAGCCCCTTGAGTCCTCTCCTGCTCTGGGAGTTTTTCTGTCCTCTCAATAAATCCTGCTTTTTCTTCTTTCAAACTCACTCACTCAGTCCTGACTTCATCTAGTTAAAATAGAGTTCCTGGATATATCTAATCCTGCTGTGCTAAGCAGGCACTTGATCTTCAAAGTCTTGTGAACAAGAATCGCCTACATTTTACAAATGAGCACATGGAGATTTAGTCCTATTAAGTGCACTCATCTGAGGGGGCTCGCGAATAGCAGTGCCAGGACCTAACCCAGTTACATCAAATTCTCCCACTCCAGTCAGCTCTTAATTGTGGCAGCCCAAGGTAAGTAAACATGATCCTGGGTTTTCAGTTACTTCCCACTTCTTGGGAATGAGCACCTCAACCCAGCAGTACCAGAAGAGAATGTGAAGTCTCTGCAAGTGTTTTTCATAAAATCACGAAGACAACCACAAGACTTTAAATTCTGACAATTCAGAATATAGTTCTGTAATGTAAATTAAGCAAGGGTAGGAAAATTACCAATAATTCTTAAAAACTAGGCCTTATTTGGGTGACAGACATCAATATTTACTCAGCATCAGTTATGCACCAGATACTATTCTAGGCCCCAAGAACACAGTAGTGAGCAAGACAAAGCTCCCTGTTCTAAGATTAAACTCTAGCAATTAAAAATACACACCACTGGTGATTTCATACCAGCAGATGACCCTGCCAACACCCAGACTGAACGCTATGACTCCCTCCTCCAGTCTCATTTCCCTTCCCTTGCCAGACTCACTCACAGGCTTTGTAAGCACCAGCAACTTCAAGCATCTCATTCTCTATCACTACTTGCTCAAGCTCTGACTGCAGCAGGCCTCTGACCTTGGGGGACCTCCACCTGTCTCCAGCATGCCTCCCAGGACCCTCACGCGAGTTACAGCCCCCTGCTGTTACCTCGCGCACATGGTCTCAATCTTTAGCAAAATCCTCCCAACTCTTCACCTGCAGCCATCCAGGTGAGGAACAACTAGAAAACCCCATTACAACTGATTTTACTTTAAATACATCACTAGGCACCTCAGAGGACACAACTCAGAGGACACAACTAATTCTTTCACCTCCTGACTTCTTTCTTTCTTCTCCACACACCTGATTTCAAATAGGGACCTTGCTTTCTAATTTCCTGAGACAATGAAGCAAATAGAAATGACACCCCCATGCTCCCATCACACTTCCTGTCCTCCCTTTTTTACTAAGTAGCTGTCCATGATCCACTCGAAGCTATCCATTTTTCCTCTCCTAGATCATCCACCAATCTGCAAACTCACCATTACTTTTCCAGCCTTACAAAAGCTGTTTTCTCCTCTAGCTACCACCCCATTCCTCTGTTCATTCTAGCAAAAGTCTTTAAAAAGTTTGTATTGGCTGCCTGTAATTCCTCTCTTCTCATTTCCTTCAACTGACTGAAATCTATGAAGATTTTACTCCTGTCACTCTACTACAACTGCTCTGGAAGTCACCAAAGACTTTCGTGGTGCCAGATGGAGGGGTCGGCTCTGTCCTCATTAATAGCATGAAACACAACTGCAGGGCTCCCAGGGCACTACTGCCTGTCCTTAGCCCCTGCCCCTCGCTCATCCTCTGCAGCACCACATGCTCCAACATGCCAGGCACAGCACTACCCCAGGACTCTAATGCTTGCTCGGCACACTTCTCCTACAGACGTCTGTATGACTTATTCTCACCCAGGTCCGCAATCAATCATCACTCTTTCAGAGAACCATTTACTCACGACCCTAAGCACAACTGCAATCCACCTTCTGAAGCCCTCCTTTCCTGTCCCTGCTCTATTTCCTCGATGGTGCTTGGTAATAAGCAGACTATCAATACAAATTATTATTATAACAAATAGGTTAGAAAAAATTTAATAAATTTCTGAGAATTAGTCTCCTTGTCAATTCTGCTACCTCTCCCCACTAGGATATAAGCTACAGAGGAATGGGGATTTTAAACCTGCTCTACTCACTGCTAAACTCCTGGTGCCTAGGACATACTTGGTATACAGTCAGCACCCAAAATAAATAAAATATAAGTAAGCCAGAGGTGATTCAAAGCACATGGGAGAATGTACGCAGGTCATATGCAGACACTAGTCCATTTCATATCAGGGGCTTGAGCACCCACAGATTTTACTATCAGGGGTCCTGGCACTAATACCGACAGACAACATACACACACACACACACACACACACACGTTATAAGCAGATCAATCACAGGCATTACAATACTGACAGACTACACACACACACACACACACACACACACACACACCAGGTTATAAACAGATCAATCACAGGCATTACAAACGAATACGGCATAATACCCATAGCATAGCAGCTCTGCTGGCCTTAAAGTTTTCTGAGCTTGTTTACATTTAAATAATTAGAATAAAATTTTTAATAGTAACATATTCCATTAAAGACTAGAACTGGATCAATTGAATGTTTTGAGTAAGCAAGGTTAAACACAATGAAGAGGTGCAGAAAACAAAACTCAAAAATCCCAAGGCAGGGCCTGTTTTCACCAGGACCCTCTGGGGAGACAGCAGGGTGTAGCCAAGCTCCAGTGGTAACCCAGGGAAGTGCCCACAGGCAGGACTTCTTTTTCACCAGGCTCTCTCACTCCCAGCATGTCACCTGGCATGTGATTATTCAGGTACCTGGTGACTGAGTGTCACCTCATCATAAGTGAGCTGGATTTATACTTAGTTTCTGTTCACCGATGTTGAGAAGATTAAGACTACAGTGATACCTTATGCTCCTTGATAGTAGTGGTAATAAGCAGATTATCAATATAAATTATTATAACAAATATGTTAGAAAAAATTTAATAAATTTCTGAGACTTCCCTGTGCCCTTGGCTTTATGTTGCCAACTTAACTTATGAAACATTAATGACTATACATTATGCAAAATGAAATGCAAAGATCACTATTAGACAACAGAGCTCCCAATACCACAAACCCACCTCAGACAGAAAACAGGAAAATACCAGGTAAGAGCCATGCCAATAAATACTTACACCAGGCAGCTGAGGTCTGCCAGATCATCAATGAAATCAAACAACTGACTGATGTCATATGTGATTGAGGGGCTGTTAGGATTCATCCTCTTCAGATGTTCTTCGTACATTTTACAAACGCCTAAGAGAGGGTGGAAGAACCAAGATCTTAACAACATGAGTATGATCTTATCTCAGTATGAGTAGTGTTGCATGCTGGTATCATATTTACTTTAATAAAGGCGGGCTGGGAAAAAGGATGGTACGTCGATCACTTTTGTTTTAATTACTGTCACTAGCAAGCTTTTTAATAAATTCATCAGAATGTTGGTGTAACTATTTTGTTTCTAAAAAAAAAAAAAGATTACTTTAAACCACTGGAGCTAAAGAAACTTTAAAGACTTGCCATCTGATGGTTCAAACAAATGATAACATTGTGGGCCTTAGCAGGTTTTTCAGTAAATCTTCCTAAAGTCACAGAGTAAAAAAAAAAAAAAAAAATCACAAGAAAAACTGGGAACAAAGAGAATATCCCACTATGTTACCTAAGATCCTGGCTCTGGATTCAGACATATTGAATTCCAGCTCTGCCCTCTGAATGTGCAACCATGGCCATCGACTTATCCCTTGAACCTCATGGGCCAGTTATAAGAGCATCTCTTCCTAAAGCTTTAAGAATTATGTGAGATCATGTATATGCAGGGGTCCTCAAACTTTTAAAACGGGGGGCCAGTTCACTGTCCCTCAGACTGTTGGAGGGACAGTGAACTGGCCCCCCGTTTTAAAAGTTTGAGGACCTCTGAGAGCATCAGCACATATAATGAGCATATACATACTCAAATGTAATAAGAGATAATAAATAAAAATCACACAGCAAAGCCCACATTAATTATAATGATCTAAAGAGCACATTATCAATTTACTTTTTATTCAGTGAAACTTTCCTCTCTCATTCCTACAAAAAGAAAACATAACTTTTCAGTCCATTCCAACTGTCACCCATTTTTAAGCCTACCACGATGAATGGACAAGTGACATTAAGTGCTAGCTATCTAGAAAAGACAGGTCCTATGTATACAAAAGCCCTTTATGTACTTCCAAATTAACTTCATAAATTTTCTAATAAAAAATAATATTCAACCACAGAACTATCAAGCAACTCTCATAGTTAGGGGTTTTGATTGCTATTGGTACACTACATTGTAGTCACGACTTATTCAAAGTAAAAAACAAAACAAAACAAAACAGGAAAATACATTCACAACTTATCTTAAAAAGGTACTGACCCACAGCTTCCATCATACTTAACGGTGAAAGACTAGATGCTTTACTGCTAGGATGAGGAAGAACACTGAAACCTTTAGTCTTGCTATTTGTATTCAGCATTGTAGCAGAGTTTTAGCCAGGGAAATGAGGCAAGAAAAAGAGCTAACAGGCATTCATATAGGAAAAAAAGAGATACAACTATTATTATTCAGATGACATGAAGTGTAGATAGAAAATCCTAAGAAAACAACCAATCAACCCCCACCAAAATCTGAGCAGCTTTTCCAGAAACTGACAAAGTGATCTTAAATTTGACATAGAAATCCAAAAGACCCAGGAGAGCCAAAATAATTCTGAAAAAAGAACAAAGTCAGCTTTCACACTACCTGACTGCAAAACCCCCTACAAAACTACTGCAATCAAGACAGTGGTATTGGCATAAAGACAGGGAGATAGATCAGTGGAACGGAAATGAGAGTCAAGAAGACAACCCTCATGTTTATGGTCAACTGCTTTTCAACAAAATACCAAAACAGTTCAAAGGAGAAAGAACAATCTTCAACAAATGGTGCTAGGACAATTGCATAGTAACACATGAAAGAATGAACTTGGACCCATCCCTCACACACATACCTATATAAAAATTCACTCAAAATAGTCCAGAGACTTAAAGTAAAAGTCCAAACTATAAACTTGTTAAAAAAAATACAAGCATTACTTTTTCTTACCTTGGATAAGGCAATAGTTTCTTAGATATGACACCAAAAGCACAAATAATGAAAGAAAAAAAATATAAGCTGGATTACATCAAAATTAAAAAATTTGTGCTCCAAAGGACACTATTAAAAAAGACCACAAATGGGAGATAATCTTTGCAAAACACGATCTAATAAAGAACCAGTATCCAAAATATACAAAGAACAGACACCTCACCAAGATGTACAGATGGCAAAGAAGCACATGAAAAAATGCTCAACAGTATGTCACCAGGGAACCGCAAATTAAAACGGATTCTACTACACACCTATTAGAATGACTAAAATCTAAAACTCCAGCAACAATAAATGCTGACAAGGATGTGGAACAACAGATACTCTCATTCGTTACTGGTGGGAATGCAAACAAAATGATACAGCCACTGTAGAAGACAGTTTGGCAGTGTCTTATAAAACTAGACAGTCTTGCCATATGATCCAGCAACCAACTTTCTAGGAATTTGCCCATGTGAAGTGAAAAATAAGCCAAGATGTTCTTCACTAAGTGAGTGAATGGATAACTATGAATGGATACATGAACGTGTGATATGAATATATAACAATTCACACTACACATGTGTGAATGTATAAATGTGTAATGTATATATGAATGTGTAAATTCAAATAATGGAATATTTTCCAGAGAGTAAAAAAAACAAAACCACAGAAGAACCTTAAAAGCATACTGCTGGAAAGGTCAAAGAAGACAATCTGAAAAGGTTTCATACTGTATATGAGGGGTAACTACCCACAAAACAGACTTATCTTTTGGAGGGTCGACCTCTTGAGTACAGGCTTCCCCTGCAAAATAAGTGTTCTAGAAAACCATAGGCATTAGTGTATCAGATAGTGAGTGTTGTGAGAGGCTGCAATAGGCTTCAGTGAATTTTTTTTTGGAGATTCTTTTTTTTTTTTGAGTTAGAGTCTCACTCTGTCGCCCAGACTGGAGTGCAGTGGCCACTCCCAGTCACCACAGCCTCGACCTGCTGGGCTCCAGCGATCCTTCCGCCTCAGCCTTCCAAGTAGCCAGAATTACAGGCATGTGCTACCACACCCAGTTGATTTTTTGATTTATTGTAGAGATGAGCTCTCACTGCCAGGTGGGTCTCGAACCTGCGGGCTCAGGCAATCCACTCACCTCAGCCTCCCAAAGGCGCGGGATTACAGGCTGAGCCACCGAGCCCGATTTTTTTTGGAGATTCTTTCAACACGTTTGTCTATTTCATGATGGGTGATTTACAAGCACACCTGTCCACACAACGCAGAATGTTCAGCACTTTTGGACCCCAAAATGGCATGCTCTCCATACCCCAACCTCCCTATTCACCTGATCTTGCCCAGAGCAACTTTTTATTGTTTTCCTGGATGAAAAAAGACCTCCAAGGGAAATGTCATGCCTATGTGGAAGAGGTGAAACCAAAAATAGCAGAAGCACTAAAGGCATCCAAATTGACGAGTTCAAAAACTGGAGTGGTGGAAAAAGCATCTTAATAGGTGTACCGCAGCAACAGAAAGCACTTTGAAGGTGACTGAAGTTTAAACATGTAAGAATACACAATTTTTAAAGAAACTCCAGGTTTTTTTGGGTCCCCTCATAACCTCAATGACACTCCAGAAAAGGCAAAACTAGAGGCAGTAAAAAGATCAGTGGTTGCCAGGGCTCTGGGGGGAGAGACAGGTAAAGGGGGCGCAGGGGCGCATGGGACTTTTGGGAGTGAAACTCTTCTGTGTTATACAGTAAGGTGGATACAAGTCATTACACATATGTAATAACCCATAGAATGCTCAAAGTAAACAGGGAATCCTAATATAAAAGCTTCTGGGAATAATGCATCAATATTGGTTCACCAATTCCAACAGATGTCTCACTAACACAAGATAGAATAACAGGAGAACAGGGAGGGGTTTGTCGGAACTCTGTACCTCTCAATCAATTTTCTTATAAACCTAAAACTGCTCTAAAAAATTTGAGCCTGGCACGGTGGCTCACGCCTGCAGTTCCAGCACTTTGGGAGGTGGAGGCAAGAGAACTGCCTGAGCTCAGGGGCTCGAAACCAGACTGGACAACATGATGAGACCTCATCTCTACAATAAATCAAAAAATTAGCTGGGTGTGGTGGCTCATGCCTGTAGTTCCAGCTACTTGGAAGGTTGAGGTGGAAGGATCACCTGAGCCCAGCAAGTCGAGGCTGCGGTGGCCATG